AATGCCCCTTTTAGCACAGATACAACTTCTGAGGATTGAGACCCATTTGCCTTCATGTGGGAAAAGCGTACTATGGACTTTCACCATATTACCTCAAGGATATCCCCACCTTGTGTCATGATATGGTAATAAACCTGGCTCCAACCTCCACTGGTAAAAATGTTTACATAATGATCATATCTGATTCTCTTTCGGTGCACACCAAGGCTACCCCCATGCTTTTGACTGACTTGCAAAGGAGAAGATGAGCTGTAAATCCTAAAAAAGTGCAGGGGCCTGGCTTATTGGTGTTGTCTGGTCAAGTAAAACAGAGGTTATAACTCAGGTTGTTATAGATAAAGCTCAAATATGTCTACCTCCCAACATAGTAAGCAAATACAAGAATTTGTGGGGCTACTGGGCCATTGGAGGGCTTCCATTCCCTTATCTGGGTCAGTTATAATGATCCCTATGTAATTTGTGCAGGAGGGGTACATTATAGGACTCTACTGACTGGAGTACTGAGTTATTTAATCAAGCCAAATGAACAACAAAACAGGTGCATGCCCTTGGGACACTAGACACATTGATTGATACCTACTGAGCTTACTGTCCATGTCAGCCCAAATGATTTTGGTTGGGGCTCCTGGCATTGGATTAAGGGACATGAGACTTCTTGTTGATTTTTTCACAGTATAGAAAGGGGTGAGGGAACATTATTGCTTGTTGGAAAAATAATTGTATGCTACTTATGCTACCCTTCTTGCCACAAAGCCCATAACCATCAGAGTAGAACCAGTCAAGATCATACAACTAGCAAACATAAGATGGCTGGAGGAAGATACAGCAGAGAAAATTGCTACTTGGCTACATCATAGATTAATCATGCAGGACAAGACTGTGTGTCCAGCTATAACATACTGGGGACTGCACATGAAGATATCTGATATGGTCACTGCATTCCAGCAATGTCTTGCTTGCTGTCAGCACTACTCACAATGACTGGATGCCACCAAGGGGCATATCAAACAAGGTGCTGTCCCTCTTCAGCAGTGGCAAATAGAGTACATTGGCCCTCTCCCATTATCAGAAGGGACCTGCTATGCATTGACTTGTGTGGACACAGTTACAAGCTTGATGCAAGACTTCCCCAGTAAAAGAGTCAATTCAAAGGCAATTATTAAGGGACTGATCCTGCTGAGTTCCATGTATGGCACACCACAGGTAATTGAGTGACTGGGAGACTGTTTCACGGGCCATGACATATAACAGTGGGCTCAAAACCAAGACATATTGTGGGTTTTCCATCTGCTCTACTATTTAAAAGGAACTGGGTTAACTGGAATGAATGGCCTGCTGAAAAAAGTCTTAAGGACTGGGGGCAACTCTATGCAGGGGTGGAATGCTTATCTGCCTGAAGCACTGAGGGCATTAAATGAGAAGCCCAGACATCAGCAGCATGCAGACTTTTCTATGTTATCTCACTCATGTAAACTCATGGGCTGGGGCTGAGCTCAGAGACAGTGCACTTGCCTAGCCTGTGTGAGCACTGGGTTAAATCCATAGCACCATATAAAAATAAATAAGTAAAGACATGCTGTCCATCTACAACTCTAAAAAAAATCTACTGGACATTTTCTTAAACTGGCTTGGGGCACAAGTAACAGTTTACTATTTCTGGCACCTGAAAACATATCAGAGACAGGAGTATTAGTTGACCATGGAAACCGCTGGTGATTTGCCTTACTGTGATCCCTTGTGGGTCTAAACTTTACTTGTAAACCTAAACTAACAAGTAAAGCCCACTGTGTGGGGAACCTGGCCCTCACAAGTACCAGTGATGTCACCCTTGTACACCTGAGGAACACTTTGTATCAGTTTATGCCAGTTACATTTCAGAGTGTCTTATTCTTTCTATGCCCCCAAAGTGCAAACAGATAGCTTGGCATGGTGCATTTGCTTAGGCAGGGCTACTTTGTAGGGTCCTCTACTAACAACAAGATCACACAGTAACTGGTATACTGCCCCATGGAGCTTATTTGCCATTATTGGTGCCCATTAAACATTTGCCATATTCTCCATAGGTTAGCAACAAGTAACCTTTTCCTGGACTGGGCAACAGAAGTTGCACATCATGCCAACCAGACCCACTGTTGGATCTACTCAGAATTCTGTGTACCTGCAGCAGAAGAACTTCCCTGGGTATGGAATGGACTTGCAATCTTAATTACTTTAACATCCTTGTTGATAGGTTCTTGCTCTTTGTACTGCCCTAGTAAGATATGGATGCAGGGCTCCAGAGCTCTGTCCTGAGGACTTTCCAAAAGACATGGGCAGTACATTTAAGGGCTTCTGAGGCACTGAAGGAGTGGAGTGTTTGGGAAAACACTAGTTAGTACCTAGGAAAGTTTGTTGTTCCAAAAAGTAGTTAAGAAGGACTCTGAAGAATGTGATAATGGAAATAGAGAGGGGAAACTTTAGACGAGGATCAAAGCAGTGACTTTGGTTGTAAAGTAGAAGAATGTACTCATAAAATATCTAAAGAAATGTTAGATTGTCCACCTGGGCAGTGGGTATGCCCCCTATCCTGTACATTTCCCCTGCTTCTAAATGCAATGCAGCCCTCCATTGTAATACCCAAACCCCCTCCATTGAATCCTTTGATTTTTTTTTCTTTGTGATTAGTAAATAGTATGTTTGTGGCATTTGCAGCCCTGGGGTTAAACAAAGGGGTTCCTGGAAACCCCAATTTATAGTTAGTTTGTCAGTTGGCTAGAAACTCTTGTCAAACAACCTGGATATTGCAAATGGCATTGGAAGTGGGGGTCGGTCCCATGAGACTGAATCCTTATCCTGTGGTATCTGCCACTACATCCAGGTGGAGAAAGTTATAATTGAATTAATGGACACCCAGCCAATGTCACCCACAGAGCTGGTTGTTGTTGGTGGTGGGGGGACATTTTAACACATACACACACTTCTTGGTGACCAGAGGTCATAGAACTCTTCTGTGTTGATTGTGGAGTAAGAGTATGGGAGAAACTGTTTTTGTCCTATATTCTCAGACCCCAACCCACTTTTGGTTAATTAACACCAGGGGACTGTTGAGAGCCAGGCAGCAGGAGATCTAGACAGCAAAGTTATACCTTTGCAGTACACCAGGAGAGGGTGTTTCTGCCTTTTCCCTTTTTTGGGTTAGGAGGGTTTGTGAGTGTGTGTTGCTGCCAGTGGGATCCAGGATCTTGCACATACTGGGCAAGTGCTCTACCACTGAGCCACATTCCCAGCCGTTTTTGTTTTAGTTTGAGATAGGAACTCACTAATTCTGCCCAGGCCAGCAGAATTCGTGATCCTCCTGCCTCAGCCTCTGCAGTATCTGCGTTTATAGGCATGCACAATGGCTCCTGGCAATGATTAGGATTTTGTTTATTTCCCATTTGTGAGCAGCCATAGATTAGTAATCATGCGCTGCTTACTCCCACTGATATGAGCAACCCTCAACACTTATATTCCTAGATCAAGTTCTTCCCTGTTATGACATTCTTTTCTACCTAAACACAAATCTGCTCACAGACGCTTTCCCAGACCACCTGGGATCCCACTCTAATTTATTTAAGTGTCTTGCTCTGGGATCCCCTTTTTGATCTCAACACTTTGACTAAGTCCTTGCCCTGTGATCAGATGAAGTCTGTGTCCTATGACAATGCCTCACTGATGCTTTCTTTGATGTTTGGATTGCAAACCAGGACGGATCTTCTCTCCTATTGTTTTCAGCCCTTTAATTCTACTATCCAATGCAGAAGCATCTTCCCTTCTTTGGCATAATAGATCAATACTTCCCACAGAAGCAAAGGCTGCTTCACAAATATGATCCAGATTGATCCATTAATCCCACCTGTCTGGGGCATCTGAAGCATCCAGATGTTAACAGATCTGTAAGAATAAGAGCCCAATCAGCATCCTGAACACTTTCTTTTCAATTAAGGCAAAAGGGGAGGTGCCTTTGGGATGCAAAGCTGTTATGCTGTTAATTATGCCTAGATTTAAAACAGATAAAGGTTTCTTTTTGAAATGGGGGGGGGGGGGGGGCTGGGGTTGTGGCTCAGCGGTAGAGCGCTCGCCTAGCATTTGCGAGGCGCTGGGTTCGATCCTCAGCACCACATTAAAATAAATAAAAATAAAAGTATTGTGTCTACCTACTAC